TGAACAAGTCGCGGGGAATCCTCTAGAATGGGGACAAATTAATAGAAAATGAATGTGGCATAACAGAAGGTGAAATACATTCACAGTGCGAGGCTACGTGACATGTTTGAGGATATATGGATTCTATATAATAAAGGTATCTCAGACACCTCTGTGACAGATTTGGAGTGTATTGACAGTTGGCTCAAATAACAATGTCACAGTCGGTAACTGGATGCTGATTCACTAGAGGAACGACCGAATCTTTGCGGCAGATGAGTTTCTGCTGAATAACTATAGGAATATAAAAAATCTCACAGTATACAGTGTTGAGGCCAGAACTTGGTTTTTTAAATCGAGAAAAATTATTACCTTACAATTCAAAGGACAAATATGGAATCTTAATAAGTAATACTTTCTGTACGCCGAGAAAGAACCCAACATGTCTTTTGAGCAAATGGTCAATTGAACAAGTTTTTCTCAGTTGGAAAGCAGACTTCCTCCCTAGGGGGAAGTATTTCGATTTTCGGTAGATGATGGAAGCCAAAGTCTCGCCGATTCAACCCTCTGCATTATTAATTAGGTTTGGTCCACTTGGCGACATTTATTTTACCAGAACTTGCAACGAGTTTTATTTTAACCCTAAAGGGGGTGTCTTGCGTCAGAGAGATTTCGAAATTGCTGGTTCTATTATGTGTTGAAAAGAGTAACGAAAGTTTTGGTTCGATGTATAGCAGGCCGCTCGCACCAGACGGTTTTTAGCCCAAAAAGGCTGCATGAGTCGAATTTTCACATAAGATCTTTCAGACTACTTTTTAATTCATTTACTGGATACAGAGCCGAATCGACCAACCACAGTATTTACTTGGGAAACTTATCAAACTGACCAGTATAGAGATAGATTTCAGCTCCTTGGGAAAAGCACATCGTGACACAACCGCAGTAAAGCCAACTAAACAGAACCGGATTTTGACACATTTACTTTTGGTTACCTGTTTTGGAGTGCATTGCTTCCGTTTTCACGATTTCCTGACGGCTGTCCGATTACCTCCCAATTACGGACAAGTCACGAATTCAATCGGGCAGGTAGAACCAATCTTTTGTGAAACTCAAAACGAGTTTTGAATCAATCCCACCATTTATTACGGATCATCAGCGGTGCTTATATTCTAAACTTTCCAGAGAATTTTGCCGACAAGTTGAGCCCAGTAACGTTTGGCCACCAACTAGCGGATACATTATGCTGCAACTAGACAAGATCCAGCATCTCTATCGTTCAGTAAAGGAGACCACGTCATGCAATTCAATGTCCTGCGTCAATATAAAAACCTCGGGTCATGCTTGCTCCGTATTCAGGTGGCCGTCAGGCGTGGAGTTAGCACCGAATTCAGTACAGTAAAACGGGTAGTTGTACGGTGAGAAGATTCTGTCTCACCCAACTGCATTGTTTTTAGCTACCAAACAGCCTTTTGAAATCCATGATGTACACATTGCTTGTCATTCGCAAAGAATTTGTAAAACAATGGTAATCTGCTTAATTTACTTTTGCTTTACGTTGACATATTGTTTATGTATAGTTTTTTATACTTTATATACTTTATATAGTTAGAATAACCACTTAGGAAGGAGCTACCCATACAACCGCACACTGATGATATCCCCTTGATTGGTGACGAAATGTCTACAATACAAATGTTGAGGTCGGTGAGCAGATCAACAGTCACCTAATTAAACGGCATGCTGTGTATGGTTGAACATATTTGGGGAAAGGGGGAGAACAATCATCCAGAGGCCTTATGAATGCTCGCAGCCGAAATTGGGTGCACCTTTACAATCAGCCACCGCGCACCCTTTAGCGGGTGAAGCTCGTCAGTCAGCAGGATACTCACGCCCAACTGAATCACCCGGCACATCTAAATTCGATTTCTGACTGAAGCCCAATGTGTCGAACATCATACGGCTACAACAGAGTGCAAGTTACCGTTTTACATAGAGCGTAAAAATTCAATTTCTGAGAAAGAATAGAGAAATGGTAGATGAATGGTAGATGATTAGTTGGTTGTTGATCTGTCCGCCCAGCTTGGCAGTGATTTGCAAACGTTTCGTCACCATTCGAGGAGACATCTTCAGTACGTAATCAACAGTGCGCTGAAAATATCTCCTCGAATGCTGACGAAACGTTTGCAAATCAACTGCCAGGCTCGGAGAACAGATCAACAGCCACCTGATCAATTACCAATTACTGCACCCGAGCTACCAATATTCCAACACATTATCAAGACAAGACTTCCATAGCCGGAAAATTTCCACTACTTGTAATGCTTTTCAGCATAAAGTTATTCAAACAGTGCGCATGCTACTGTGAAACCCGTGACCAGAACTAAACTTGTACAACTGCCAGCCAACAGAACTGAATGAAGAGCAAATATTATAACTTTTCAGTGAACCACGTCAGATCCTTGATGCAGCTGCAGTCGGTTTCAATCACAACTGAGCTATGCTGTTGCCGTCGTCAAGATTGTCCTCAGAGAACATGATTAATATCAAAATAATATCAATTTACTGAAAGAATAAATAAAACACGAAACTTCTTATGTTGCTTTAAGTTCTGCTTGTGCACATAGGCAGGTGAAACTAGGCCCATAGCTGGTTGAATAACAAGTAACGATCTGAATCTACGGTCACACATTCAATAGAAAAGAAACAAGAAGCTAATGCCCAAAGTTCCATGCGTATTGCGTTCCTAATAATCGGTTGGTTTGCCCTGAGGATGGCACCACTCTAACGGGATAACCGCCCAACGCTCGCATTGTAAACGCAATGATACTATTCATTCTTCGAAAAGTTCCACTCTCATTTTGCTTCATCGAGGTTCGCCGGCGTGTAATGACTAATTAAAGTAGGGTTAGTAAGGTGTCGAATTGTTCGTAGTTTTAACCATGGTCATCAAGAATAGATCACGCCCCCAGGGATTGCTCCATACAACGGTTGATTTCAAAGATTTCTATGAACATTATTCAACTTGATTTAAGTGTTTCTTGAGGAAAAGCGCTTGCGTGAAGGATTTTATCAGTCAATTTGCCTAGAGGCTAAAGATCAGAAGTTCCGTGCGGTAAGGAAATGAATAAATCATTGCAGTCTCTTCCAAGCGCAAAACTTTGGCGAAACGCTCTGGGGGATGATTTTCCACCGAAGACTTACATGGAAGTTATTTTTCGTGGAGTACTGTAAGTTATGTAACATAAACCGGTATAGTTTGCATACTTTGCATATACGTGAGACTGGGTGTACAAATTACTCTTGAAGTCTTAGGGCGTGCAGATCGCATTTCCCATCTGTATGCGGTTACATCCATATGGCTGTTAAAATCGTGTGTAATGTTTAGACCATTTTCAACTTTCCGGACGCCGACAGGTTTCTTTGAATTCAAACGACAGTTGATTCGAGAAATAACGGACGTGGAGATGCTGCACCAACGCATCTACTTTTCAATGTTAAACTCTCGGACATTCAGTTTGTTCTTCAGGATCGACAGCCGAAAAACAACTGGACACTCAGTGATTTCTGCTTTTCGAAATAATATTCCAGGTGATTGGATACTAAACAAAACCATCACAACACGAATTAGACTTTCTTCTGGTTTACGTCTTCGGTTTTTAATGGATAGAGCTCACCGCAGACTGGTATGTGTTCCACTTCACTATCGTGCCACCAATAAAAGTGCTTGTTAGATTAATCATCCCCAGTTTTAAACTGAGGATGCATGGATATTCTGCTAATATCTTATTTTAACAGGAAAATGATTACTGATCCTAATTTTATGCCCATAGAAGTAGAGGTTAACTTTATCTAGAAATGAGTGCAGATAACGTAGTCTGGACAATATTGATTATGACAGAACAATTCTCCAACAACACATCATGCTAAAAATCCTACCCAACTCTACTGATCCTTCTGGACACATTGTGAAACAGTGGAATCCTGCGTTCTGTTGCATCTTCATAGCAAGCATTTGGAAACAAATCTTTCTTCACTTGGCCTCGATTTTCTGCTCCCACTCCTCTATCCACCCAAACACAGTTAAACCGTAACACTTGGGAAAAACAGCAGCACATTGTGTCAACTCTGATTCACTCAATCGTAAGGGAGACGAATCTTGGAAATGTCAAGCCTCACCACCATCCTCGCAACGTGACCGTACAATCTTTCACCCATATTCTGCCACCACATCAATGTGTTCATCGTCCTCTGTAGTGTAAACTCATGAGCATGTTAAAAGAAAAAAAAAAAGCACACAAAAACAAAGATGAACAAAACAAAATGCCAGAGGTGAAATTTTAATGGCGTTTGAGCCAAAAAGAAGATTACTCTCGAACCATCTATCATAGAATTATCATTTGAGTTGCTGTGGATGGGTATACGCGTAAACTCATAGCATGTTAAAAGAAAAAAACGAAGCACACAAAAACAAAGATGAACAAAACAAAATGCCAGAGGTGAAATTTTAATGGCGTTTGAGCCAAAAAGAAGATTACTCTCGAACCATCTATCATAGAATTATCATTTGAGTTGCTGTGGATGGGTATACGCGGGTGTTTGCCCAGATGAACAAAATAAATTTGATTAGATTCTTTCGTTTTTGGATTGGCCACTTGTGCATTACCGAGTAAAATGGTGGAGACGCGGTTTGTTTTGAGTGTAAACAGTGGTTTGTTTTGCGTTGTTCTAGGTTATTGTGTTCTTTTATTTCAGAGATCACCCTTGCTACGTTGAAATTCAACTACCGTTTTTCCTGGCAGAACAATTTGTAGTTAATTCCTAGTCTATCTAGGATATGACTGGATAGTTAAAAATAACGATCGCATCTCGTGTTGCGTACCGATACGTCGAACGGGGCATCACATTTTCATAGCGTGCGACGCCACAGATTTGCAAAACGAAACATGTTTCAGGTGCAATTTATGAGATCTAAGTTAGTCCTGATATAAGGCGCTGAATCGCGTTCGGAATTTTACACAAACCTGAAGTTCCATTTGGCCAGTGAGCGATGGGGATCCGTTGTCTTCGGCAATAAGTACGTACTTGTACGATTTCTTCGTTTCCCAATCCAATGGCCGAGCAAGCTTTAAATACAACTGACTGGGCGACTGACTCAGAAAGGGTGCCTCTGCCACATTAGTTATCGCATCAGGGTAGTAGGAACTTCTAGCCATCGGCGTATCATAAGAACCCAAAGACTGATACACGTTACCCGGGTGCGAGATACCTGGCATGACTTCTGAGCTGACAGGTGCAACTTGTACCAGTTCGAAAGTGTCGTCATTTTGGGAATGTAAATAGTACCTGAAAATGAGGAAAACAGAACGGGAATAAATGCACTTGGCATATAATCTGGGCCTCAAAAACAGTTTTTGAGGCGTAACAAGATTAATAAAATTGATTTTTTTACAAATAAAAACGTCAAAGTCTGTTCTAAATTTAGTATGACAAAAAATCTTGAGGCACAATGTTACAGATCCCTATTACAGCAGACATGGTCATTCTCTTAGTTCTTTGTATCATGGCTGTGCAATAAACAGATTTATCTGGAAAGTGTAGATACGAGTTTTTATGAAAATATTGAGAGTGAGAAGACTCAAAGGAACAATTTTCCCGTGAGAAAACCTTGTGAGGTTACCTTCATTAAACACAAGACCATCATCAAAAGCAACTTTTCGCTGTTGTTGATGAGAAAATGTTTGAACGAATGAAACATTGAACCTTCCTGTAATTCCATAACCCACAGACCATCGTCTTCCACCGCGCCTCTGGATTCAGTGAGCTGCGAATTCACGCAATTAGGGCTTTACAGCATTTGCCTTCGAATCTATTGTACTTTAAGTTTTGCTTGGTTATAACGAAGTTTTCACGTGTGTACGCAGGGCAAAACCCGAAATTTTAACATCAAGACTAATACTATTGATTCAAGTGTTTAGCTAACAATTTCAACGAAAAAATCATCCTTAGTGAGACGTAAAAGCAAACAGCTCGGACACTGCCTGTTTATTGGAGGCAAACAAATGCACCGTAACCGGTGGAGTACACGTTACTGGGTTAGCTGGTTGAGTTGAATGATGTCAAAGCGTAGACTGCGAACAAATTCGTTAGACGCACGCTCTCGTAGACCTACTGGGAGGGTGTTACTCAAACACCAATCACCGTAAAACTCACTCGACCCACCGTCCTGTACATACATCAACCAGGTTTTGCAAGCATAGGCCGAATTAGGTTGAGTAGCAAAGTGACGGGCTTGATCTTTGATCTTCGGAGTAATTTCTCTTTAGTACCGTAATACAAGCCCGCCCGAGGAGATGCTCTGTGATTATTATCCAAGCGAGACTTGACTTTATCCTTGGACCATCCGTTAGGAAGAATGGTGGGTTGTAAACATTCTTTGGCACCACTCCGCTTTCTTTACCTTTTGCACCAGAGTAATGTTCTAGTAGACAAAAAGGCTTTGGTTTGTGAGACGCTGGTCTCAAGACCAACGAAAGAAACCCGCTGGCTAATCCTACTAAGATACGATGTTTCCCGTAATGATCTGCATCGAGGAAAACTATGTCAGCCGTCAGTCCACTGTCTTTAATAGGTACATTCTGTCCAGCATCAGCTGACATGAGGGGCTGTTGACTGGTTACTCGAGTGACTGCTCCTCAGGCATCATCATCATCACTATTATCATCATAATCATCATCATCATCGAGACGATGAGACCAGTGTTCAACACCAATGCTTCGCTGCCATATATATGGTTCACGCGTATATTGGGAAGACTCGCTTTTGGGGTTTCTTTCACTTCGATAGTAGTATGCGTTGACTGTTATTTCGTCAATCATGCAGCCCCCCAGCAGGCGGCTACTTAATACAAATTGTGTGGTTCGAGAATAGGCCGTGATATCCTATCTAGGTGCTGGTTAGTCACCACTGGTTGGTCAATCATTACCCAAGGGAAAGGTTTCAGTTTTGACTCTCCTAGGGGGATCGTCGGATGTGTGGAAAATGTAACGCCTGACACAAGAGAAACCACTGTGTAATATCTCCACCCTTCTAGTGTTGGAGGCCGTACTCCAAGGGGGAAATCTTTACCACAATTTCAGCAACCTTTCATGTTGTTCCATTCCTTATCAGCCAACGTTTCTCACACGTTTCTGGTGGGCAGCACCCTTGTAAAGCCCTCAGGGGAATAGGTGTGTACACAGAACGTCGAATATACGGCATTGAACTGGTTATCAACTGCGGTGACAACTAACCACATCAAGTACGGAACTGACTTAAGAGTGGAGTGCGACCCTGGGTAGACCAATAGGACTAAGTGCTAAGTAAGGCGGAATTTAAGTGGTTTTTCGAACAGCTTAAGACGGTTTGTTACACATGCTCTCGATCTGAGTGCTGATGTTTTCATCGTTCATGTTCAGAAAACAGTTGTTCTTCCACTAGATGGTGCATTTCCCCGACAATATTTGCGCACATAATTTCACATTCCGCCATCTCAATTACATTGTCTGGTAATCGCATCAGTAGTTCAGCCAAATAACAAACAGAATGAATTCAAATAAACACTTTGGTTCATCCTCTTTCATTGAATAAGGTTCTGTTTACTTTGTAATTTTACCTTCATGGGTACTTAACAATTAACAATTCCAATCAGAGGGACTTATGTGGTTACGTATACAGATATCAAGAGATTCAGTTAACTCACGGATGCTATGCAATTTTATTTTTAACCATGAAATGCTTCCATTGTTTCCACACCACAATGGTCTGTTTGAATTGCAAAAAAGTCCACTGGTCACATTTGGACCATATACCGAAGCTGTCTTCAAGAAGTCGAGAAATGACTGATCATCAGGTGCATCTCTGCAGAATTTCCCTTTAATGCTTGCCAAGAAGTCGGTACCCTGAGTTGATCACATTCTTATAAAAGACGTGTTTGAAACTTCAGACCATTAAATCTGGTACCATCACATGCGACTCAAGGTGTATCCACATGAAACTGTCCTACAACTTACCTTTTTAATTGTTGTTTCACTTGTCGTATGACCAATTACTACAAAAGTTCACCTTATTTCAATCGCAGACCAACTGCAAATTCTTGGTCTCATGTTTCTTGGTCACATATGGCAAGCAGCCGTAATTAAGCAGAAGTAAGCCTACTCTGACTGATCTCTAGAAAGGCGACCACTGTACGGAACTAACCGAAGTGGCGAGAGCAACATATTAACTTCAAGTCTATGACTGAGGAATTCGGCCAGTTGGTAGAAAATCTTGCCCAGGTCATCTAGCCTATCTGCATGTGGTTTGTGCTCACAAAGTGCAAAGTCATGGTGCAGGACGTACATGCTTTGAAAACGTCTCAGAATTTGTGGAGTGACACTGAAAGTTGGGAAATCTTACAGGGGTTTCGAAATTTGCGTTAGCTTTGACAGTGGCATGGCAAACGAAGTCAACGCTCAAATATCCAAGGCCAGGGTTGGTTTTGATAATTCGCACAACTTGTGGCATCGAAAATGCATCTCACTGGGTTTCAAAAGACGCATGTGTCTACATGCACTGCGGGGTGTATTGTTATACGCAAGAGAGACTTGGCCACTCCGGCCGGAGGATCTGAAACACCTTCAGAAACTATGGGCCGGCAGACCGAAGTTAGTGTAGTCCAAGCTATCCGCCCCAATCCAGATTGCCTGAATGAATGCCTGGGTTGTTGACACCTCGGAAGTACGTTGTAGGGCAGTCTTTGGTCATCTCACTCATCCACTGCTTTTCTTTAAATTGTAATGCATTATTCGGATAAACTGACGTGACAGCAGGGAAATGAAACACCAATGGTCCCATCTGACGTTACTCTCAATGGTGATGATGATGATGATGATGGTGATGATGATGAAGACTGGAAAGTAATCGGATCATGGAAACTCTGTCACGCAAGATCCTAAATTCTTGCTCAGGCCTATCAAGAGATGCACATGGCTGACTATCAAGTGCAGGTTACTTACCAAAAATACACCCTGTTGATTAGTGCGAACGACAGCCAACATAAACCGGACGCATTTCCGCGTCCAATAGGCTGACCGGAAGGGAGGTCGCACTTAGTGACTTGTCAGTTCATAAAAAACGTGGAGAAAATATAGAGAGATGTAACAATGAAGATGCCGTATAATAGAGTCCTATAAACGTCAATGTGTTCTTAAAGGGTTTTTGAGTACAACGTAAAGTGTACGTGGCCTGAACTCTGCCAATCCGCCTCAAATTACTTCCAAACTCTAGTACTGTGACCCAGTTGTCATCGCGTTCTAGATCTAACTGTATCCAGTTCGCTGAACGGCACACTTTCATGAATCCAATATATGTTTGAGGGGATTGGCAATATGCGGCGATGGTGAATGTTCTTCAAACTGCTTTTCCTTCAGTGAGTCCACAGCAAATTTCAAGCAAGCTTTCTATGTGGTACCACGAGAAGTGTTGACGATTCCTAATCATTTACGCGCTCAAGGACATTGGAAAAATGTGTTAGCTATGAGCACGGTTGACCATTTAACTAAACTCCTGGTAGTTCTGAGTTATCCAAATGAAGTTTGGTTATTGTACAAGATGTCAGATTTTCTATCAATAAATCGACTTTTTCTGAAATGCAATATAACAAGTTGCTACATGCATTTATCCGTGTGGCACATCTTAAAAATATGGACACATTTAAATGAGCAATCTTTGGTTTAGGGAATGAGTAAACATACATGACGTTCTCCACGAAATGAAAACACCCCCAGTAACTCTTATGGGCGTGCCGCGAACAGCTGCCAACTGAGTAGGCATTTGACCCAAGTTTACTGGATGTGAATTGATTATTGTAAGGCCAGTGGTGTTTATTATCTTTCAATAGCAAGGTCAGAGCAGACCAAGGTCAGTAAGCTGTATGTGTTATTGATTAGCCGTACACCTCTCAGAGCTGGATGCTGACTAGGTGTTCATTAATCGATGAGCAAATCTAATACCGGACAATTACGGCCAAGGAATTATTCCGGGTTCCGAAATTCACTCTGGCTAGGATGAAGGCCAGGTATGCACTGTTCTAATAAATTTCTTCTTAGAGTGAACCGATCTTCAAATAATTTTTTGGAAGTTTACAAAGTGGGAATCACACCACAATTTGAACTCTTTCATTCGAAGCCAAAAAATCACCTTGCTCGTAAATCTAAGCCCAGCCGCACAAAATGTGACATTGCTAACAACCAATTCAGGCACACGGATCCAAACTAAAAGAGATTTTAAGAGCGTGCACCCATTCCCCTCCTTACCGCATATTAGCT